CACAAAGCCATGAAAAGATAATTTCGGCTTTACTATAAATTACTGCAAATTCTGAACCTGCTTGGAATGCCTGCCCGTGCCTCGAACTCACCCATGCCTGGCTCTCTGACCAGATAGCAGACCTCTCTGAAACTTTAGTGACACCTCATAAATATTGGCCTTCCCTGGCCAGACAATGACCCTCTCTGAGGCTCTAATGGTCCTCATAAATTACGATGTTGGGGCCAGCAAAAAAATGTAAACTACCATTCGTGTGATGCTTGTCAGAGTTCTGTTATCTGTAACCCCTCTTTCTGTAAATTTCTGGGCTATAAAGCTGGGCTGCAGGAAACCTGGGGTTGCTGTCTTGTTCCCGCCGTTTTGGGAGGGAGAGGCAGCCCGGCCGGTCGAAATAATAAGCTTGCTTTAATTTGATTTTAATTGGAGTCAGTGGTCTTTTCTTGCGTCCTGGTCTAACATCCTAAGCATGTCTTATGTGGTATCCCATTTAATTCTCACTAGGACCCTTGGGGAAAAAACCTCCCTCACTCTTGTCACTAATTAGAACACTGAGGCATGAGAAGACAGGTACTGGCTCGGTTCTCCAGCTGGGTGGGGCCAGATGCCAAAGTCCAGGAGAAGGACAGTCAAGACATTCCCCAAACCTATGCTTCCCTAGTTCCCTCCTAGCGTTCCTTCCCTGTTCCCACAGATCCAGCTCTGCAGTGTCACCCCATCTTGTAAGGCGACACTCAAGGTAACTCCTTCCTCAACCCCAACAACAGGGGACTTGTTCTGGACTCCCAATCTGAGTCTGGAGTTTCATCTGGTTGTAACAGAGCCCTGTGTGGGGGGCAGAAAAGAGATCTGTCCTGTACAGTGTTCTTCATTTTCATGGAGAAAAGGGGGTGTTGTGGGAGTCCTCTGAGGGATACAAATGGGGGTGAAAGGATGTAACTAAAGGCCAGTAATGAGGGATGAGGGAGGTGGGTAAAGGGGTCCCTGGGGTGGATGGGAGAACTAGTGGCCCTTAGTGCTGATGATTTTGAGAGAGAGGAGAGGTGTGATAGCTGCCACTAGGAGAGGAAATTTGGAGAAAGTACTGGAATGGTAAGAGGGGATTTAATGGGAGTTATTATAAGCAGTGTGAGGAGAAGACCTCTCTCCTCTCTAGGATCTAGGTCTCTGCAGTGGATACTGAGAGATGGCAGAGATGTCTGGGTCCATGGGTCTTCTCCTGCACTCAGATTCACTCTGAATCCCCTACAGGGTAGGATACAAAAGTCATCATGATCAGAGGTGACCAGCATTGGTCAGATTATGGCCATGCCCAGGAGCCACATATGAGAGGTCACCCTCAGAACCCAAAAGTCGTATAGAGTTCTTCCCATCCGTGGTGAGAACCTGCCTTCCTTATGATGACATAATGATGATTGTGGATAGCAGAGAACTGTGAGAATAGAACCATCTCCCCAACAGGGTTGGATGGTATACAGACTCAGTGTCACTGCCCTCATGGTATCCTAGAGCTAAATATTTGTGGGTCTGTGTCTCAGGGTGCAGCCTTTGGTGTATCTGAGTAGTTGGGAAGCTGTTACCTAGAGGTAAGAATTTTCTGAGTTTGTTGGGGGATACTGTGTGCTCAGGTGTGGCATCTTTGAGCTGTTTGGTGGTTGGTGAATAGGGTGAGAAGTCTCCAAACTGTTGGGGAGTATCTTTTGAAAATGTTTTTATTAGTGCATTATAGTTAAACACAATAGTGGGGTTCATTTTGATGTTATTTCCAACTGCATGTAACATAGTTTGCTCCATTTCAGTTCCTAGTGCTGTTGGGGAAGATCTTTATCCAGAAAATTAGGACTCTGAGCTGTTCATGTATCTGCATCCCAGGATGTTTCTTTTTTCTATTTATTTATTTAGTGGGTCTAGGGGTTAAACCCAGGGTCTTGCACCCAGGATGTTTACTTAAGGAAGGCAAAATGGATCTTTCTCTCATAGGGCTTAGAACAAGGCCTGTGATTTTATTTCATCCCTGCCCTGGTACTGTGGAGATGAAACATATGTTTCTCATCCTCTGGGAGAGCAATTCCTCAGTCATATGCAGCATGTGGGGACCTCTGGCTATAATACTACTAATAACAATATCTGCTAAAATCAGTGCTATCTTTGCTCAGAACCAAGCCTGTGAAAAACCCATGTACATGTATTAGCTCAGTTTATCTGCCAAACATAGTATAAGGGGGAGTCTCACTATTTGCAGATTAAGAGGCTGAAGCCAAGTGAGGATGGGTGACATGCTTCAATCCTAGGTTCACAAGGCAGGGAGGAACTGGATATAAACTTGGACTCACTGGATGTTTATGCACAGCTGAGGTCAGGGGAGAAATGATAATGAAAGGGGACAGGGAAAGGTTTTCCCAGGGCCCCAAGGACTCTTATTTGACTCATTGTCAGGATGTCTGTTTCTCTGTCTCTCACACATACACTACTTGGTACCTGATATGCAGGTTGCAATTCTCATAGTACCTGTAGAGGTAGTAGGGTAAGGTAGAGATAGAGTGTTTACACAGGTGGGGAAAGATCCATCAATATCTAATTTTTAAAGATATTGATGGATCTTTTTTTAATTCATTTATTTATGTGGGATGCTGAGAATAGAACCTAGTGCCTTGCACATGCTAGGCAAGTGCTCTACCACTGAGCCACAACTCCAGCCCCCAGATTCATCAATTTTCACAAGGCCCCAGAGCAAATGTAGAGATTCCTGCCTTCTCTTCCAATTTTAAAGAATGTTTTTGGCACCAAGAGTCATTAGAAGGTCAAAGCTTGAGGGGGTGTGGGTGACCCTATGTACAACATGGGTCTTCCCTTAACTGGAACATGTTCTTGTCCTTATGGGTAAAGGGACTTGATATGTGTCAAGATAGTGGGGAAGTTCTTTCCTCATGACTGAGGCCCAAGCCAATTTCAGTCCCTAGAAACAGTTGCTGGGGAAGTGCTTTCTTTCCCCTGAAGAGATAGGCTTAGCCTCCTGAAGTATGTATGGGAGTGGTCAGAACTCTGGGTGCTAATTCAGTGGAGACAATAGCTGCTAGAAATAGTCTCTCTGTCCTTGTCTATCTCATGCTCTCTTTTTCTCTGTTTTCTTTGTGTTACTTTGTCTCTCTAACACATAGGATGGCTGTGACCTCATACATTACATGAGGGCCCTTGCTCAGTCTTTTCTGAGAGTATCATCCTTTCACAGCCATTTTCATGGGGATCAGTCGTAGAGGATCACCCTGAATTTATTGTTCAGGGAAGGCATATTCATTTGTGGAGGGGCTGGGGAAGGTGTCCTTTCTTGGGGAAAACCAGGACCTCCTCCCTATGCATTGATTAACCTGGGCCTCTGGCTGCTGAAAGAGATATAGGGGCCTCCCCGCTAAAAACTAAAACAAAACAACAAAAAACACATTTATGGCTCACTCAGGGTAAGTCAAAGTTTTCAGCATGGCTTAGAAGCCGTACATGATCTGTCCCTCTCTAACCTCATCTCCTGCCTGTCTCTCCCTTGAATATATGCTGTCAGCCACACTGACCTCCTCACTGTTCCTCACACATGCTAGTGGAGTTCCATCTTAGCACTTTTGCATTGGCTTTTATCTTTTATCTTTCCTTCCAGATATTCATTTCCCATAGGTTTCTGCTCCAGTGTCCCATTCTCTGAAAGATCTTCTTCAGCCACTCTTTCTAGAAATGCTCTTCCCATCTCTATTTCATTACATTGACTTAATTTTCAGTACAGCAATTACCACCAAGTGGAAAAGGACCTGCTTACATTTTGGGGCTGTATGATCCCATGAGTGCAGGGTTTTTTTGGGTCTCTTTCCACGTGGCTGTATTCCTATAGCCCATAATGGTGTACAGCACATCATTTGGACAGAATGAATGAATGAGTGAATAAACAAATGCAAAGTTATGGTGATAGACATAACTAGACAAATTGAAGATTTTGCCAAGGAACATCATCAGGTGTAATAGGATGATGACAGTATTTATTTGACCTGTTTACTATCTCTGGGGACGTAGGGAGATGATCTTTTCCTGAAGGGAATTTGAAGGCCCTCCTGTCCCTCTCACCCATTAAAGACAGAGACCTGGCCCATACCAGGCCTTCTGACCCACTAAGAGCTTCATCTTTCCAGCCCTTTGGGGGCTGTGGCTGGGTTCTCAAGCAGTTAACTCCCTGCCCCAGCCACCATAAGACCTCTTTTTGCATTACCTAGGTAGGCACAAATGAGCACAATGTGCAGCACACAGTAAGCATTTGAAAACTCTCTGTATTATCACGGTGGACACTGCAAGGAGGTAAGTACCAGCTTACGAAGACTTTCTCCATGTTCAAGACTGCAGCGAACACGCAGTGAGGGTTTTCTTCTTGACTTTGCCCTCTTTGGGAACTGGTCTTTAATGGTTCACGGGCATTTACATCGACCAGCTATTCCCGGTTTGCACCACCAAGGGGCGCGCGGGATGTTTCAGTTCTGTACTGGTTCATACCACTGAGGGGAGCAGAGGTAGGACAGCCAACTCTGGAAGGTACCACCGAGGAAGGGGCGTCCACTTGGGAATAATCCCTCGTGTGCGTGTGTGTGTGTAAAGAGAGAGCGCAAGAGCGCGAGAGCACACTGAGGATCTCCTCAAACTCATGTGGGCATCAACCACAGTTCTCAACAGAGGTACTACTGTCCCCTTTCGGTCTGTCTCTACTCTGTTCTGGCCCACTGGAGCCCGCAGCATTTTCACCTCCCTAACTTCACCCCTTCACTTCAACTTAGTCAAACCCAGCTGGGAACAGCAAAGTAGCACGCGATTGGCTTTGGGATATGGAAGGTGGTGGGGTCAAGGGTTGTTCTGGGAGGTGATTGGTCACCGCTAGAGCGCCTGAGCAAGCATTTCCGGGGTATAGAATGGCTCCGGAAGGACTTCCAGCCCCTCCCTCCTTTTTTGCGTACTTTGTTCCCATTGGCCATCTTTTGGGGGCAGGCAAGATATTGCAGAGCCAGTGTTCAGGCAGCCGGTTGCGGTGTGTGTTGCTTTTTCAGTCTGTAGAATTTTTTGAACTACTTACCAACTGCCTCAGCGGGGCTGAAGATGCTATCCCGGCAAGGTTCGCCCTAATCACTTGCTTGTAACCAGTCTGGCGCTGGAATCATGGCGTGATGGGTGCTTTCTTCACGTGAGCTCTTTCAATCACGTTTATCCATAACTGTCACAAACATAGTTTGGAACTTTTAGCACCGCATTATCATTCTTATTGAGCATTCAATTAATGTACAGGGAGAGGTCTCCGAGCTTGTTGTCTCTGCCAGTAATAAAGCATGTAAGGTAGTTTGGGAATGCGTATTGCTAGGTTTGACATCTCAGATGCTGTTTGGGAATATTCTGAGTCGTTAGGGGGATTGTGTCTTAGTGGGATATGTTATGTGAATGGATTTTGTATGTCTGTATATCTAGATGTGCATTCCCTGAGCTTTTTGGGCATTTATGTCCCTGAATATGTGTCCTTTATGTGGGCGTCTGCATCTGAGCTATGTGTGATTCTGGGTCCCAAATTGTGTTTCTGAGATGCTGAGGGCACTTTATCTTAATGGGTAAAGTGGCTGAATTGGTTGGGGATCTTTGTCCATGGACTTTACTTTAAGGTTATGTGACGTTTCTGAGCCATTTGTACTTCTGCATTTCTGTTTTAGGGGTCTTTTATTAGGTTGGGAAGTGTCTGAGTGGCATGGGAGATCTAAGACATGTATCCCAACAGTTTTGTTTCCCAGGGTTGAGAATTTTGTTCTGGTGTGTGTAGGAGGATAGAGGGGCATCTTTGTTATAGTGTGATTGGTCTGTGTTCTGTTTGGGGCCTTTTGTCTCAAGTTGTGAGTTCTCTCTGCAGGGATTTTTGTAGTATGTCTTAGATTGTGAGTTCATTGGGCTGCTTTTGGTAGCTTTGGGTATCTGTGTCTCAGGATTGAAATCTCTTCATTTTTTGGCTGTAAGATCTCTATCCCAGAACTGTGGGTTTTGGAGCCTAGAAGACATGACTTTAAGGCCTGGAACTCCCAAGTCCTGGTTGTATGATGTTGGGCAAGTCATTTGCTTCCTCATGTCTCATTATGTATGTATCATAATCAGTAAAATGGGACCAGTTGCTCATCTTGAAGACGAATGGTACATATCAACAATGTGTGTAATAGTATCCTCCTTCAGCTATCCTTCAACAATGTTCTGAGATCCCATTTGGTACCTGAGTACTGTCTAGGTTCTGGGTATATGAGAATAAAACTGACAACATCCCTGATTTTGTAGAGTTGGTCAGTAAATATATAGCACATGGCAGGGTAGCAAGTGCTATATAAAAAGTTAAGGTGGGTTGGATGCCGTGGTGCATGCCTCTAATCCTAGCAATTCAGAAGGCTGAGGCAGAATGATCACAAGTTCAAAGCCAGCCTTGGCAACTTAGTGAGATCCTGCCTCAAAATAAAAATAAAGAAGGGGCTGGGGGTGTAGGTTAGTGGCAGAGCACCCCTGTGTACAATTTCCAATGCCACACCCCAAAAATGTTTAAGGTGGTATCAGGAGAAAGGGTAAGTGGGCAGGATGTTTATTATTTAGGGTGTACAAGGAAGGTCTCTCTGAGAAGGTAGGGGAGGAAGGGAGGAAGCAGGCCATCTGATTATGTTCAGAAGAGCATTTCAGGCAGAAGGAACAACATATCTAACAGACCTGAAGAAGGAAGCTTTTTGGTGGGTTCTTGGATATCAAGGAGTCCTATGATACTGGTAAAGCCTCATCCCAGGTTTTGACATGTAGTACTTAGTGAAGGCGTCTGGTGTCCTTTTCTTTATTTCTCCCACAACCTGTGAGTTATTCCTCATGCTGCAGATGAAGAACCTGAGGCTCAAAGTGCCCTGAGCCTGGTCTCTTGTTCACACCTGGAATTCCTAAAGGTGGGCAGGGTGGCCTTCTATTGCACCAGGAGACAAGATAGACTCAGAACTAGAGGTAGTATGCCACAAACAGTAAATGTCAGTCAATGTGTCAGTATTATTATTATATGGTGACCATGACAATGTGTCTTTTTTCCTTTTTATTGATGCATTATAACTATACGTATCAGTGGGATTTGTTGTTTATATTTGTACAACACATAATATAACAATATAATTTGGTCAGTTTTATTTCTTAGTACCTCCCCTTTCTCTCTCTTCCTCCCTCCCCGTTGTTCCCTTGTACTCTGTAGGTCTTCCTTCTATTTTCATGATATCCCCCCTTTTTTCTCTCTAGCTTCCACATATGAGGGAAAATGTATGACCTTTGACTTTCTGAGTTTGTCTTATTTCACTTAGAGTGATACTCTCTAGTTCCATCCATTTACCAGTAAATGATGTAAATACATTCTTCTTTATGACTGAATAAAACTCCAGGGTGTATGTATATCACATTTTCTTCCCATCAAAAATATTTCTACTTTTTTTTGGGTGGGGGGTTTCTGGAGATTGAACCCAAAGGTGCTTTACCACTGAGCTACATTACTAGTCCTTCTTATTTTTTATTTTGAGTCAAGGTCTCACTGAATTGCTGAGGCTGGCCTTGAACTTGTGATCCTCCTGCTTCAGCCTCCTGAGTCGCTGGGATTAAAGGCATGTACCACCACACGTGGCTACATTTCTGTTTTTGATGGAGGGCAGGATTCCAGAAATGAGAAAGGAACTAAGATTTGGGAGAGAAGCAAAAAGGGGGAGATGAGGAACAGTGAGGAAAAATACACTGGCTTTATAAGGTTGCCTAGATTTGGCCAATTTACCTTAATAAATCAATTCTTTTAAAATATGTCCTTTCTCTACCCTTTCTTTCCCTTCCCCTCCATTTTGCACCTGAGCTGAATTGTCCTAAAGCCATTCTCTGAGGCAGAGCAAGCAAATGTACATGTGTAGGGGCATCCCAACTTGGGAAGTTAGAGCCCAGGCATAGTGAGGAGGGCATGATAGTGAGGAAGGCAGACAACCTGGAGTGGGTGCCAGAGATTAAGGCTGTAAGAAGAATGTCCAGGAGATTAGGTGGGGTAAAGGATGACTGGCTAAGGGATGCAAGTGTTGTAAGTGAGGTGTGGAGGTCAATGGGTTGAGGAGAGTTCAGCATAACAGCTGAGAAAGGCCTCTCTGTGGAAGAGGGATGGCTTATATGCATTGGATTTCATCAATGAGGTAAGTGTATTAAAGATAACAGGATCTAGGTCTTTCACTTTTTCCAAAGGGAGTTACAAATATGGAAAGCAAGAAAACTAGAACAAACTCTGAGATGATGTACTGGAGGTCTGCACATGAACTCATGGTTTTCAATATATATGCCTGTATGTGTGGATAGATTGATAGATTTGGATGTGCATATGTACATGTATGTCATGCATGCATATATTCCAAAGTTCCTGGCACAAGCAATACCCCAATTTTAATAAGCAAACTTAGCCCCCAGATTTTAGTTTCTAAGTGCCATTCTCTACTGAGAGGAGCCAAGGCTCCTTGGAGAGCTGGGAAAGGTAAAGGATAAGATGAGTCTGACTTCAGTTGTGATACCACTAATGTGTTCAAGGGCTGGAGTTGTAGCTCAGTGGTAGAGCACTTGTCTTGCATGTGTGAGGCACTGGGTCCAATCCTCAGCACTACATAAAAAATAAGTAAATAAAATAAACATATTGTGTCCATCTACAACTAAAAATATATTTTTAAAAAAGAGAATATTCAAGGAATTATGGGGGCTAAGACAGGGAAACTGCTTGAAAGGACTCCAAATGACCAAACTGGGGACAATTTTGGCATCAAAATAAATAATGATAGTAATAGATTGTATCCCACTGAATAAAATAGGAAACACTGAGTGCATACAAATACAAATAAATAAACAAATGAATTGCAAGTTTGATTCAAAATGGAATATTTAAATAATTTTAAAGGATTTTGTTACAAAATTTGAGTTAATCATAAATGGGAAAAGTGTAACTCTTCAAGAAGTGATGAAAGTAATCATCATCAGAAATAGAACAAATTGAAACCATGTGCCACATGATAGAAAACAATGAGAAGAAAAAGCAAATATGTGAAATTCTTGCCAAATATACATAACCTGAACTTAATAGAGGAAACAGGACAAACCCACATGAGGAGCATTGTACAAAATAACTGGCCTATAGTTTCCCATAGCATCAAAGCCTGGAGAGATGGTGGAACTATTCCAGATTGAAGGACACTAATGAGAATAGGATATCTAAATGCAATGTAATTATGAACTGGATTCTGGTACTATATATAAACTGCATTCTTGGAAAAACTGGCACTTTTAAAAATATTTTTTAGCTGTTGATAGGCCTTTATTTTGTTTATTTATATGTGGTGCTGACAATCAAACCCAGTGCCCCACACATGCCAGGCAAGTGCGCTACTGCTGAGCCACAGCCATAGTCCCCAGAACTGGCACATTTTAATGGGTCTGTGTAAGTTAGCTCTCTATTACTGTAACTAAATACCTAAAATAATAAGAAAGAAGTAAAGTTATTTTGGCTCACAGTTTTGGAGGTTTCATCTCATTGTTTTTAGGTCTGTGGCAAGGCAGTATATCATAGCAGGAGTACACGGCTTAGAAAAGCTGCTTACTCTATGGCCAGGATGTGATCAAGAAAGGAAGGGTACATCCTCAATGGCTAGAAGACCTCTCAGTAGGCCTCACCTATTTTACCACCTCTCAATAGCTCCAGGCTGGGGTCAAAGCTTTTAATACATGAACCCTTTGGTGACATCTAGATCCAAATCATAGAAGGATCTGAGGATCAGATGGCAGTACTGTATCAATGCTGACTTCCTGGTTTTGATGGTAGGATTGTGGTTATTTAGGAGAATGTCCTTGACTGTAGGAATTACAGTCATATCATGTTCTCATGTTCCTTCCATTGGCTTAAGGGAGAGGAAAATATTTTTGCAACTTTTTTTGTAAATATTTTGTAAATATTTTTTTGTAAATATTTCAGAATAAAAAATTATGGAAAAATGAAGCATTGGATGATGTCTTATATGCTTTACAGCTGAATTTCTTTTAAAAAGGTGATAACTCAGGCTGAGTGTGTTGGCATGTGCTTATAATCCCAGTGACTCAAGAGGCTGAGGCAAGAGGATCACATGTTTGAGGCAAGCCTCA